CCCCCAACTAGCTGCATTTGATGAGATGGTTACAAAAAAGTTTCCAATAAACTGAGTGCTGAGTGGTTTTGTTCTACGAGCCAAACACAGGGCGCACGTCGGCTATCGGCGGGAGGCATTTTGACTATCATTGCTTCCCTAGTTCCGGTTTACAAGTCTCACTCTGGCGAAACCTGTGAACTCTTGTGAAGCTGGAGCAAGCGTCAAGCCATCATGGTAAAACCTGTCAACTCGAGAAGAGGCTGCCTAGATAGGTCGACACGTCAATGGGAAGTAGCGAAAGTGGAAAATGCCCTCCCCCAGCCCCATTGCCGAACTGTGCCCTTACACTCTGCACTCTGATGCGGGTCGGCTACAGATAAAGCAAAGGGCAGGCGTATCTGGCAGCGTTCAGATTTCGCGAAGCAGCGCTTCGGTCGCGCGTTGGACGCGATCGATGCGCATGCTTTCGACTGCATGATCGCGTCGAACGCGCGACTGAAGCGCTGCCGTCGCGAAGTCTGAACGCTGCCTCTTGATGAGGTTTTACACTGGGTTCTTCTTTGCTGTTGTGTAATGGCTCTCGAGTCTTTCCGGTCTAGAAGAATAGGGTTAGCTATGCATCCAGTACCTTGGGGACTCGAGGCTGGCTAGTTGTGGGGCATATTTGCTAGTTGGTCTGACTCATGGCTTAGTCTGACCACTCGCTTCCTACCCACCCCTTCCACTTCTAACACTAAGGCCTGCCGCGATGGGGAGAATTTTCTGGAATATGGCTCCTCCCCAAAACTAAAATACCACTTACTTCTCCACATTACATCCCTAACGATGGCGTGTACTAAGTTCTCTGCTCACCTGGACTTTGATGGGTTCATTATGAGGGCAAATCGAATCAAAAGGAACTCCTTCCGGCATAGAATAGCCTTAGTACTACAAGGTTCAGCAATAATAACCGAATCAGAGTGAAATCTGGGATCGTTAAGAGGGAGTCCGGCCCAGCTCGGCGACGGGGGAACATTTTGCACTTTTGCTACTTCCCATCGACGTGTGGACACATCTAGGTAGCCTTTTCGTGAGACAGGTTTCACCATTGTGGCTCGATGAGCTTGCTCCAGCTTCACAGGAGTTCACAGGTTTCATCAGGTAAAGTATGCAAACCGGAAGTAAAGCAATGGAAGTGCAAAAATGCCCCCCGTCGCCGAACTGCGCCAGCGAGTCTTGCTACATTCGAGCGAATAGTAGGATAAGGTAAACTCCATCTAGTTCTGAGCCTTTTGTACCGTCCTTGTGACCACTGGTCCTTCCAGTATTTTGATATCCGGCTCTCGAGTGCGAGTTCCCTTACGACGTGGTAAAGTGGGATATTAATACGGTCTAACGCTTCGTTTGAATGGTCGCACTTAGCGCTGTGAATGAGACGGCGAACTCGCAGGTGCTTTCTAGTCCTCCATGCAGTGATTGCCTGACCCATTCTAGTGGTCTCGGAAATATGCCAGCAGCAAGAACACCTGAGTGTCGTGGGAAACGAACTCTTCCGGATAGGTTGGCTCATAATTTACCGGTTTACTTACAGGCTGTCATTTATGCCACAAATAGATTAAACGCCCTTCTCCGGGAAGTCATGGTCCCACACGGGAGGAGAACGGAGGTATGTACTCTAGCTCTCCCTCGCTGTCCTCCTAAACATTTCATTCCCGAATCCTAGGAGTCTTGATGGGACTAACTAGCAATGTGGTCACCATGAGTAACTTCTTTCTTTCCCGTCTACAACTTTTCCTTTGCCGCTCGAATAAGGATGTATAAGAGAGGGATTCAGCCCACCAATTTCAAAAAATCTTTCTCAAATCGCAGGGTAAATCGTAAGCTCATACGTCTGTTTTGTGGATGCAAAAACTCTGTGAAAGGCGAATGCATGGCGTACTCCGAACTGAGTTGCGAAATTAAAGTCCACCTGATTCAAATGGTAATGAAAGGAGAAAGTAAGGAAGAAATCGAAGACACAATCATGCTAGTGCTTCACCTGAAAAAAGCTGCTCCACGAAAATGACAAGTTCTTTTTGTAGCGTAGGAGAA